CTACATTGTCAACACGGACAACCGCGCTGCCACCTCTGGCGGGAGCGGAGGGGCAGGGGGTTTGGGTAGCAGAACCGGCTTCGACGAGCCGAGGGAGGCGGAGCAGGAAGGATTGGCGTAATCGCCCACTTCGTGTGGAACGGGTCCCATCTTCCGCCTTCGCGTACGATTCAGGTCAATGACGGGCGATGCACATCTTATTGACACGAACGATCAGATTGCTTATTCGCCTAGGACTAATGAATCGTGAATTAAAGGTTTCAAAAATTCTCTCCCGACCGTTGGTCGTGAGGAGCCAGTTTGGAGTTAGTTTTCAACTAGCAATAAGCTGAACTCGGTATGAACCTCATTGCAGCTGCACTCGCTGTGCAAGATGCATTACTCTCACGGTCGGCCTTTGGTATTTAGCCTCTTGCTCCCCACACCCTCCAGCCTCCGCAGTCCGCAGTCCCAACCACAAAATCGTTCTTTGGTTCAAATTTGGGAGTGGTGAAATATGCAGAGGATCTCGATCTCTCCTGCCGGCCGCTTTCGTCCACCCAACCATGTGCACTGGGACCCCGACCGGACCAAAAGCTTGTGGGGTTCCATTTTTTGCCCACGCTTCACTACGATGGCTGTGGCCGTCTGCCCCTGGGTATCATTTCAACCGCTTCGAGCGCAAAAACAAGGAGTACCGTGACACACGCACCTTTCGCAGTGAAATGATTCCCGCCTCTGCTCTCCTTCTTGCCATCAATCTCTGCTCTTCTCCTCTCGGGCTTTTTTGTTTCCAACTACTTAGAACTTGTACATGGTCCATTTTGAAATGTTCGTCGGAGCACCAGTCGATGCGGTAAGGAGTAAATTCTTAAAATTGTAATCAACAAATCCCTGGAACGGAAAATACCCAGTAATGTAAGCAATGTTATTGCGACGACGACAGATTAAGTTTTGGCCGTTGGAAGACAAGGATCAATTGAAGTGGCACCTTCCAACATTTCCTTGTTTGTCGTCCTCCGTCCTCTACTATGAACACTACACTTCATTCACTCAGACCCCATCACTTTCTTGTAACTTTCTTGAAAACTCCAAAAATCCAAGCCGGCGAAACTGTGGGCAGTGCTCTAATGTATTCATCCTCCCGTTTTGAATGTGAGGAGTCGCCAAACGGCAGCCACAAATCTCAAATCAAAGCAAGCTGTTGACGCAACAGGAATTTGCGGAGCTTTGTGAGATTACGAGAAATAAGTGAAATCATGCGGGTCACGTCCAGCCGACATCCGTGAGTGGCACCATAAGAAACCTTAGCTTGACAATAGAGATGGAAGTCATTATCATTGAACTCCGGTGCCGTCTCCCGGGATTGAACCGGGTGCCTTAAGATCTTCAGTCTTACGCTCTCCCAGATGAGCTAAGACGGCTTGTAGATGCAAGATAATGCAATGTACCTCACTAAAACTTCAATTTTGACACCTCATTTCGTGAAAACAAGCAGAATTTATCATTACGAGGAGGGGGTCTGTGATTAGGCTATTTTCTGCGTTTAGATTTTTCGGCTGAAACCGTGCTGTTCCAGCGAAACGCGTTAGTTGATTGACCGCTGTGTCGATCTCGTTGACTACAGAACGGAAGGAAGGAGTTAGGGCGGTTGGGGGGAGGTGGGAGGTGGGTCATATTTTCATGTAAAACTATAAAATGTGTTGTACTGAATCATCATAGAGTAAGAGCTGAAGAACCTAAACTATGACTGACACCTTGTGTGAGATACTCAAGAATCTCATAGTGAGATGCAGGAGAAGCGAATGGGCTTGGGAAGTTGGGGGGGGGGGGGGTTGCCTTAGCAGGAAAAAAGATTTGGTGGGCAAACGAGAAAATTCAAATTTGCTTGATTTCGATGTCCTGCACTGTGTCTGCTGCTGTTCTTGGTGTGCAAGTGGGTTTTTGGTTGTGTGCTTGCTGGTTATTTTGGTGTGGCTGCAGCCAAGTGGCCCTTGTCGCTCCTTTTTGAAATTCTTAGCAGTTTTCTTGGATGTGCATCTTCCAGTCAGGGAGACAGTTAGGAGGACAGGCTTTGTGAGCGCATCGCCCAACAGCTCCTCTTGTCAGATTGGTCAGCCAGAGTGGAAGTGACACCAATAACTCAAATGCATTCCAACAAGCCTGTGGAGGCACAGGGGATCGAACCCTGGGCATCTCGCATGCGAAGCGAGCTATCTACCACTGATATATACCCCCAATAGTGGTGCAGGGATCCCCTGGTACTAACAACAAAAACTTGCTGTGAAGCCTGTGACATTCTATCTAGTCTCGCTTGGCAGGAGCTGGGTGCCGTCTTATTCATAACCATTACGCAGATAAAGAGGCCGAGTGCCAGAACTGCACCTCTTGGCAAAATGGGGGGCAGGGGGAGAGGGGAAGATGAGAAATGCCTTGAAAATGTTCTGCACACAAATTGCTATGGAAAACTGCCTTTTCAATGAAAGTGCAAGGAGTGTGGCCGATGCACAGTTTCAAACTTCATACAGAATTGCTGGGCAAATTTCCTGGAACAGGCACAGCAGGACACACAGTTTCCATAAGAAGTCAGTTTGTGCTGAGGAATTTGCATGCTGTCTTTCCACACAAACACACGCACACACAGACACACACACACACACACACACACACACACACACACACACACACACACACACACACACACCTGCAAGAGCCTCCAAATGTTGCATGGGCGAGTGTTATGAATCACCCTCTGGAAACCTCTGGAACCTTCTAGAACATTCCTTCATGGAACCTTGTGGAACCTTCTGGAACCTTCTTTGCTTTCCTGACTTGTCTTGTTGTCATTGGTATCATTGGTAGTATCATTGGTATCATTGTATTACTAATTGCTCTTTCTGGAACTTTCTTTGAGTCTTGACAAGGAACACTCTCAAAAGGTATAAAAGGGGGATGGGGGACCTGTCCCATCCCTCAAGTGAATTATTGTTTCCAATACAATCATCACTCCTCTCAGTTCCTTGTCTGCCTTGCCCTGTCCTGCCATGTTCCTGACAGTGAGGAATCACAAGTGGCAGGACAACAAAGTTTTTGTCAGGTGGAAAAACCCCCTCCACAGCTAGGAATTGTCATGTAAAATGACTGCACATGAAAAGTCAAACCACCCAATCAAGAAGTGGGTTTCAACATGCCTTAAAGTGGACCATTGGTATCAGTATCTTCAACTGTTAGGAACTCTAGAGACCTCATGGTAAGTATTTGGGTTAGAAAGCAGCATTCCCAGTTAGTATAGTGGCTAGTATCACCCCCTGTCACGGGGTAGACCCAGGTTCAATTCCCGGACTGGGAGGAGCATCACTTTCAAAGTGGGGGTTTTTTTTGACAGCAGTCAGTCCAATGAGTTGCCTAGATTCTCATCTGGTGGGGAAGGTGCCAAGCGCAACCACCTCCAGATGCAGTGGGGTGAGTTCAGCCTTAAGCACTGTGCTGGTACAGTAAGTGCATGAGCTTCAAACGTGTTCCACAACGTGCCAGTGCTGGAACAGGAAGATTGCATAGGCAGGGGCTATATTAAAAGCTGCCAAACAACCACAAAGCACAAGCAGGCACAAATTGAAGAGGTTGGTGCTGAGCATACTCCCCTTCCCTATTAGAGGGTGGTACACCCTTTCTTGTCCACACCATAGTCTTTTTTGCCTCCTTTCTGTTTTTCAAACAATTGTTTTCTTTTATCGAAACAAAAATTAGAAAAAGGCAAATCTCGTGCTGCGAAAGGGGACTAACCCTAGCGCCACAAAGACAGCTTTTTTGACGTGATCAAAAACATCCAATCAACCTTTCACTGCTGGCACTACCAAAAAACACCTCCCAATGAACAGCTCTTCTTGTGCTAGCACCTGATCAACACTGCTGGAGTTGGAGATTGTGATCACAATGTGAGTGAGGACGCCTGGGCTGTCAACTTCCAGGCTTCTAACGATCAGTTTGAGATTTTCTCCTCCTTTTGCAACTTTTGACAGCACAAATCACTCAAAATGATTATACAGGGTCGCAGTCTGAGTGGCACTTGGCTTCATCGCCCTCCCCCACTGACACCCACAAAAGTGCCCACCAATGGCTGTATGGGATTCTTTTGAAGGGACAGTCAAACTTTCTGCTCGCCCTTGAGCGCTCAGAGTATGTGCATCCATCCCATCCCCAACGAATTTCAACAAATACTGCCACTAATCTCACCATTGCAACTTTCCCAACACTTACTGTCGTTGTTACGGCTGTGATCAGGTTGGAACTTGGAGGTTAATGTTTTGTTTCTGCATTTCCACTTTTTTTATTTGCTTCTTTTTTTAAATTTTTTTGGATTGGATCAAAGTTTGAATTTTCATCCAGCTGGTGGCGGGTGCCACTTTCCACATCAAAACCTCTCTCCTAAACAGCCTGAGCCTTCAATGCCTTCAATGCCAACATACTTGGCTTCACTGAAACAGCTTGTCCGTAAGCCATTCATCTCACCTCATCCTGGCAGCCCAGCCCACACCAAAGAAGAGCATCTCTGTCACTGATGACTGGGACCTAATTGAGAAGATGAAGGTGGTTGAGGTTGATTGCTGGCTGTGGCATGGCGCATTGGGGGTGGCCTGCCTCCACTGGCAGTCACCAATTCCTCAAGGCTCTGCTAGCTTCCCTTGATCCCATCAAAACCTGCGCTTGGTAACAAACTTGTGTTTCCACCACAACAAGTCTGCAGCAAAGTACCGCACAAAGCTGATTGCTACATGGTGGAATCGAACCACCGTTTCCTCGGCCACAACGAGGCGTACTAGCCACTATACGAATGTAGCATTGGGGATTTTTGCTTGTGTTTGCAAAATACAAAATGCATATGTCTGCTGATCAGAGCAGCAGAGCACAGCAGCTGCAGGGTTTTGCTCAGAACTCCAGCTGATGGATTTGCACACTCGCTGGCAGGTGACCACTGCCTAGCAGTCCAGACTGGGTGCCCTTGCCACACACAATATGTCTGTGGTCAGATGGCCGAGCTGCTCTAAGGCGCCGCACTCAAGTTGCGGTCTCTCACGAGGCGTGGGTCCGAATCCCACACTCTGACCCTTTTCCCCTGCAGTTGGAGACCCCCTGCATAGGAAACTTTTGTGGCACTAATTGCAGAAAGCCAGGGTGGCAGAATCCCCAGAATCCACAAAGGCGCCACCTGAATTTGTCAGTCCTGTCGCCTGGAGCAAGCCATGGTGGGTAAATGGCCATGGCTTGTGGCAAACTGTGGCAGGTGGCTTGCTGTGGCAGTGGGCGATCTGGTGGCCAAGACCATCCAGGTTCCAGGGCAATCCAGCGTCCCATGCTTATTAGGGCCAAGAAGAGCAAGCAGTCACAGCAGCCTAATCACCCACACCAAGCCAAAAGAAACACCATATTGTCCAATGTTTTTCTTTTCCAGCTGTTAGGTGGAGCTGATTGGTTAGTAGAAAGAGGCACAAGACGGACCCGAACCTATTGTGACTGTCAGTTATCGTTCTCATGATAGCCATGGGGAGAGCAAGCCACCGCCAATGCAGACCTCGGCGCTGGCTTGCGCTGTTGACAAACTACGCAATACACCACGCTTCATTCCTGTGCAATTGTGTGCAACACACTCGCAGTGGTCGAATTCCATTTGAATATTACCAAGGCCGAAAACCCAACCTATGCCACCTTGAAATTTTCGGGTGCCTCATTGTCACACTCAACAATGAGTACACAGAACCTGCAAACTCATGCAAGACCAAGTTCTCTCCTCAGGCTTCACTTGGACTCTTCTTGGGTTTCGACACAGACAGCGGGTCTATTGCCATCAGCTACAACTTTGCTGGACAGACCAATCTTCAGACATGCCACTATAACCTGCATGAGGAGGGTTTTTTTGGAGGATGACAGTCATGAAGACAGTCATCACACCAAATTCCTAGCTTGCATATTGTTCAAATATTCACTCAGAAGTATGATTTTACAGTTTTGGTGAGTCGCAATATTTAGTTTAAAATGCATTCAAGGGGCCCCTTACATTCTTTGTGCTGGAAGGGCAATTGGAACAAAATTATCTGGCCTTGACCTGGTGAGTTCCTGTATCAACTGTGTTGTGAAAGTCTGCTGATCATGTTTCATGTTGTCACAGCGCACTGAAGGAAAACACAACTTTCACATCCCAAGATGAAGTGATGCATTTGAAGAGTGGGTTTGAGATTTTAATTATTTTTTGTTCTTCATTTTTTTAACAGAAGACATCTTGATTGCTTCAGGAAGCAAATGTTGCACCTGCTTGGGAGAGAGGCAGTTACAGGATGAAGGGGAAGGGCGTACTGGCTGGTTGCGAATGGCCACTGCATTGTTTTGGGGCATACTATAACTGCAAGGTCCAGAAATCTGGGCCATGGGAAGCAAAAATAATTGCCAGGTCTCGAATTGTGCATTATTGGCTGTGGATTCCTGTGGCAGCTGTTTTGACCAGGCCACAGTTTCTCTTACCTGGACATCCCTGGCTCATACTTCACCATGGCTTTAGGAAAGCCCAATCTGCTGGCTGGCCATCTCCAGTGGACAGCCACGGCCATTGGACTGCTGTGGCAAGTTGGCAACAGGATGCCCAGCCACTTTGGACAGCCAGCCACTTTGGCTTGCCAAAGTCCACAGTTCCTCCCCAATTAGTGCCACAATTTCTGATGTGACTGCCTTGTGGAGGAGACATACACTGAGAGACGGTTGTGCATGGATCACTTTGTGGGCACAGTTGTTTTTCTTCCCACCTCAGGCTGGCCAGCAGTGGTTGAGCAGGACAGCGCTGCGTTGAGCTTTGCCACACTATGTGTGACTGTGTGTGAATGTGTGCAAACGTGTGTGCGTGCATGCATAGGCCTTTATCTGTGTGTGCAAGTGTGTTTTTCTGGACAAGCATTGCTCACACTGCCTAGCCTTAGCCCGCTGCAACAGATTGGCCAGCACATCAATCAAAGCTGCTTGAGTATGAGTTGGGCTTGTCAAACAGTGAATTAAGGAGCCTTCTGCTCAGCTGGCAGAGCGTATCCCTCTAGGAGGTCACACAACCCTTGCAAGGATATTGTCGTCGGTTTGATTCCCGCAGAGGGCAGAGATTGACTTTGTTCACATTTTAACTTTCAATCACACAATGATTGCAACAGCCCGGAATCGGACCCGGGTCTACCGCGTGGCAGGCGATAATTCTACCACTGAACCACTGTTGCTCCTTCACATTGGGAATTATTTAGTTATTTACCAAGTTGATGCAACGCAGACTGACGTTTGGCACCTTTTCTGGTCTCTGTTGTCCGAGCTTTTACTTTGATCCTATTTCTACAGACTTTAAGTCATCCTACTTTTCTTGCTTAAGCCTTCCTTGCAGTTGATTGTTTCTTCCCATTTCTGTTTGGTTAGTTAGGGTTGATTGTTTCTTCCTGAACTCTTGTTTCACATTATTATTCTGGTTTCCCCTTGTTGACTGCCATTTCTTTCCCCAGTTCATCTTACATCCCTTGCAATGTGACACCCCCTGTGAACCGTGCCAATGCATGCCCCTATCATGCCGCTTTGTTACAGCCTTGCAGACAGTCGGTGGACTTTAATTTTACAACCTAGTGACCTTGTGCAAAACTCAGTGTGACAGGCAACCACAATCAGTCCAACATTTATGGTTACTTTATCCAATCCTGAGCCACATTTGGCACATCTTGCAGAACTTTTGGGGGTTCTGCAATGTCTCTCTATTTTTTCAGGCAAAATTCATAATACTTGATCCTTTTGTATTGATTGCAGATGTGCTACTGCTTTGGCAAGTCTGTTCATTTTGGAGCTATCCTCCTAAACTTGGCTGGTGCATGCAGTATAACCCAACACGCACAACAGTTGTGAGCCTCGCACCAGCACCTATTTCTTGCAGGGTTTTGGCAGAGTTTCAGAGTTTATGACCTGTACTGTAACCTTTGTTAAAATATCGCAAATCCATCATCCTTGTGATTCAATTGTGCTTGAATTTTGTGTGTGCATGTAGAATAATTGCTTGTAACCATCGGTCCCGGGGGAATTAGCTCAAATGGTGGAGCGCTCGCTTAGCATGCGAGAGGCACAGGGATAGATACCCCGATTCTCCACGTTATCAAGTGCTTCTACTCTGTGTGCATGAAGAAGTTTCAGCAGCACACAAGGCTAGGCCCTTTATGGTGCAAGGATTAATTGTGGTGGCACTGATGTTGTTTTACATGGTAATTGATGGTGGACTGCCAGTACCTATTCCTTCAGATCTCTGGTATTTTCCTTTGTGTGATCCAGGGATTCCCCATTCTTTCCCACCAGTTTCAATAGCAATCTTCAAGTGGTGCACAACACGTTGATTTTATTTTATTTTATTTTATTTTATTTTTATTTTTTCTTCCCCATTTTTTCCATTTTTTCCCTATTTTTTTTGCTCTGTTGGAACTGACGGGCACGTTGGCACCAAAGGATAAGTTTGTGCACCAAGCAGCCTAATGGTGCTGGCTACTCAGAGATTAGGAGTGAGTGTTTGGGGTTGTCGATGAACATTGTGGACCAGCACAGCGTGTTCAAAAGGAGCAGGAATTTTACACTCGTCAATGCCTTCTACCAGATTTGAACTGGTGACTTTCCCCTTCCACTTAGGAATGCTGTGCCAACTGAGCCAAGAAGGCAGTGTGTTGAATTGTTTTACTTTGTTCACAGCTGGAAAGAAAAAAATTTTTTGTAAGGATTAGGAAGGGGGGCGACAGGACGAAGAACTTGAAGGGGACCTCAACCCGACGCACGTGGGCGACGACGCTGTGTGACCGGTTGAAGGCTCAATGGCAGGGTGAGGCCAGAGCCTAGACTTGCCAGACTAGGTGGTGGTGTGGTGGAGGAGAAGGGGCTTGCTTGCTTAAGAGAGGGAGGCCCCCCCTAAAGAAGGGTGACGGGGGCCTCGAGTGTTGGACTTGTTGCTTGGTGTTTGAACTAGAGAAGTTTCTTGACCAGAGGGACTTTACTCAGCGTGAGCTTTCGGCTGTTTTGGCAGCCTCTTCAGACGCTTGAGTGAACAAAGAAAAACCAAGGGTTAAGAAACTTCAAACCAAAGGGACCAACAAGGGTGATTGCAACACTTGGGGTTTGAAAGCAAGCAAGGGATAGGGGATCAAGGGTTGGTTGCACTCACACACACACACACACACACACAAAGAAAGAATAAAAGACAGCATCATACCTCAAACCAAATGTCAAGGGCACAGGGGACACTTTTGGGTTTGGAAGAGTTTCTGGCAAGGAGAGGGGTGAAAGGGGGGGGCCCTGCCAGGCTTTATATACCCCCAGCCCAAGGGGGTCAAGCCATGAAAGGAAATGGAATGAATGAAACAGCAAAAAAGGAAAAGGTGATTCCAAAGGTGATACCAAAGGTGATTCCAAAGGAGGGGTGATTCCAAAGGTGATTCCAAAGGAAAGGTGATTCCAAAGGAGGGGTGATTCCAAAGGTGATTCCAAAGGAAAGGTGATTCCAAAGGTGATACCAAAGGTGATTCCAAAGGAGAAGTGATTCCAAAGGTGATTCCAAAGGAGAGGTGATTCCAAAGGTGATTCCAATGGTGATTCCAATGGTGATTCCAATGGAAAGGTGATTCCAGTGGTGATTCCAAAGGTGATTCCAATGGAAGGGTGATTCCAAAGGTGATTCCAAAGGTGATTCCAATGGTGATTCCAATGGTGATTCCAATGGAAAGGTGATTCCAGTGGTTAGGGTAAGGTTAGGGTTAGGGGAGGAAAAACTTTGCAATTTTTGGGGGTGGCGGATTCGGGGTGGCCGCGCGGTCGCCCCACCGCCGCCGCCGCCGCCTTCGATGGCGGCGGCGGGGGTGGTGTGGATCCCTCGCTGCCGGCGAGCAGCACGATCCACAGCGCCGCGAGTGATCGCGGCGTCAGGAACGACGAGTCTGAAGCGTGGGATGCGATCCCCCTGGCTGGCCTGCGAAAATAGCAGTAACAGGACGCTTTTCGATCGCCAGACCTGCGATCCCCCCCTCGGTGCGACGCCGTCGGGCCGGCGAGCCCGTCGCCCCGCAGCTCACCCCAGACCTCCCGCATGGGACGCGTTCCCCCCGCTCGGCCCGGGAAATTAGGAGTACCGGGATGCGAAGGTGAGAGGGTGGGCAAGCCGTGTGTTGCTGGTTTGGTTGTAGTGCGACGGTCCTCCCTTGCCCCCGTTGCGCGGGCGCTTGAGCGCCCTCCCCCTTCCCCTTCGATCTGCGCGGGGTAGTGGCTGACCCCGCTACCCCCCGCTCTACGCACGGATCTCGTACTTCGCGGGTACGATCGAGAGGGGGTTGAGTCCCCCCGCCCGATCCCTTCCTGCCTTGTCACGGTCTTCTTCGATTCAGCAGTTTGGCGGCGCCTGGCGGCGCCACTTATCGGATTGGGGCGGCGCCTAGCGGCGCCGCCCCTCGGCCTGGCGGCGCCTTGGGGCGCCATCCTTCGGAATTGGGGCGCCTCGCGGGGCGCTACCATTCGGATTAGGGCGGCGCCTCGCGGCGCCGCCCTTCGGCTGGGGCGGCGCCACGGGGCGCCACCCTTCGGGTCTGGGCGGCGCCTCGCGGGGCGCCACCCTTCGGATCGGGGCGGCGCCGTGAGGCGCCGCCCTTCGGTTGGGGCGGTGCCTCGGGGCGCCGCCCCCTCGGTTGGGAAGGCGCCTCGGGGCGCCGTCCCAACCCGGTCGGGGAGGCGCCTCGGGGCGTCACCCTTCGCGTTCCGGTCAGGTCGACGCCCCTGGCGTCACCCACTCCGGATGGATGGGGCGGTTCCTGGTGCTCTGCCCCTCGGTTTTTCGGTTGCGGGCGGTGCCTTGTGGCGCCCCTCCTCGCACTCCGGTTGGTTTTCCTTCCGCTTTTAGCTTTTGGCTTTGCTTTTTCTTCGATTTTCGCATCCTCTTCGTTCCTTGCTTTTCTTTCGTACAGTGCTTTTTCTTCGATTTATGCTTTTGCCTGTTCGATTTGGCCCCCCTCTTCGCTCCGGATAGGGCGTTAGGTCTTTGCTTTTTCTTCGATCTTTGCTTATTCTTCGATCCCTGCTTTTTCTTCGAATTTTGCATTATCCTTCGATTTCCGCTTTTCTTTCTTCGATCCGGCCCCCCCCGTTGAGGGGGGGCCCTACGCATTCCCACCCCCCCCCCACTTGGGGGGGGGGGGTTGGGCCTCATAGTTTCCGTTGGTGGTTGTTCTTCGTTGGGTGTTAGTGTGGGTTTTTTCAAGGTTCGCCCTTTTTTCCCTCACGCCCGCACTCGGCGTATTCGGGCCTAGAAGCAGGTCTCTAACTGTTGTTTCCACTTCATCATTGGGCCGGTGAGGGTGGATTCGATCACCAAAACAGTTGTAGTAGATAATAAATTTCTTGAGGAGTTAGGGTTAGGAATGGATCATTGTGAAGATGTCAGAGCTGATTGTTGGATTGACGTATTTTGCGCCAAGCGCACCTCTGGAGGCTCTGCAGGAATTCCAAGATCAAGTTAGTCAAGTTAGCACTCTTTTGCCTGCAGCACCCTTTCTGATCATTGGAGACTTCAACATTTGGATGCGTGAATATGGATGCCGCACTTCTGCTCCTGCTGAACGTGTTTGCTGGCTGCAGGACTGGCTGCGACCTCCTTCCCAGTGGAGGAGGGTTGCGCCGGTTCGTGGCCAGTGGACCACAATGACAGAGGGAAGGGCTGGTGGACCTGGTGGACAGGGGGTCACTGATCTTCTGTTTGTCAACCAGCATGCTCTCCCCTTTGTTCAGAACCTGGTTGTCCATGATGACCCTTCAGAGTATGTTGGATTCTCAGATCACAGGCTGTTGACTTTCACCTTCAATGGAGATCTGACCACCAAGCCCCCGTTTGAGCGCCTGAATGTTCGGAGACTCATGATGAGACAGACCAAGTATGCTAGCTGCCTTGAGAAGACCAGGAAACCCATCAGAGCCCAGATTCATTCAGTTTGGAAAGAAGTTGAAGCTGCCGCTGAGGCCAGAGAGCTCTGGACTTTTGAGAGGCGCTTGGCTTGCGTGGATGCTGTTTCCAATCTGGTCGTGCAGTGGCTCATGGACAATGCTGTTAAGGTAGCTGGGAAAGTCCGCTTCAGGGGTGGATCTGGAGGACCAGAGGTCCGGGAGAAGCATCTGGAGGAGCTAAAGCGCCGTCGCGTGGAGGCGCGAAGGGCTGCTGAGGCTCACCCAGATGATGATCCTGTGGGGCAGAAGATGGCCTGGACTCAGTTTCGTCAGTGGAATAAGATTGTGAAGATTGCCATCAAGCGGTACAGGAAGCGTGTATATTCAGCTGTTCAGGACTCTGCTGTGCGCGACTTTGCTGGTGAGGCCAAGCGCATCAAGTGTCAGAAGGCACGTTCAGATAGGAGCCAGTGTGCCCTTGACCCCCAGAAGATGGGCCATTACGAAGACCATTTCCGCACAACCATAGGCCATGAGCCAACTGGAACTGATGTCCCTGACGCCGTGGCTCTTGAAGAATCAGCAGTTACTGTGAACAAAGTCCCTCTGAAGCAGTCTGAAGTCTCCTGGATTAAGAAGGTTCATGTCGAAGAAGCCTGCAAGGTTGCCCCCAGGGGCAAAGCCCCTGGAGAAGACATGCTTTTTGGGGAGTTGGTCTCAATTGCTCCGCACTTGGTTGCTGCAGTCCTGCACAGATTCTTTCAGCTTGTGGCCTCTCTTCATGTGGTTCCTTCTCTGTGGTCCGTGGCCAATGTGGCCTTGGTCTACAAGAACAAGGGGCTCAACAGCGATGTTGCAAACTACAGACCCATCTCCTTGTGCTCTAGGATGCGACTTGTGTTTGAGCGAGTGATTGCACCTCAGGTGGAGCGTGTGGTTGAAGGCATGATCCACAGGGCGCAGGGAGGTTTCAGAAGAAAGCGGTCCACCATGGACCAGGCCTACACTTTGCATGAGCTTCAGCAGCTGAACCCCCAGATGCATGTGGTGTATTTGGACATTAAGGCTGCGTATGACTGCACAAACAGGAGTCTGGTGTGGGACTCCCTCTGGTTTGCCAGGAATGACAAGAGTCGTGACTTTACAAGGACTCAACTGCTGCCGATCCTCAGATCTTTGTTTGATTTCAATGCATGCCAGCTGCTGGTACTTGGGAACAAGTCTGCTCAGATCCAAGTGACAAGAGGATTTCTCCAAGGCACAGTCCTGTCACCCATGCTGTTCAATGTTGCCATCAACTCCTTGCCTCAGACATTGGCCATGTCTTTCAGGGACCACATGTTGACATTTAATGCAACCTCCCTAAACTCACTGCTCTTTGCTGATGACTCCTCTGTCTTTGCAAAGGATGCGACAGTACTTCAGAGAATGCTAGACAAGGTGCATGAGTGGTCCCTTAAGCGGGGGATGACATTTGCTGCCAAGAAATGTGTTGCAGTTTCAGCCAAGAAGAATTTGAAGTTGAAGATGAATGGAGTGGAGATTCCCCAGGAGGAGTCTACTACCCAGTTGGGTCTTGTGCGCACCTGCAGGGGTATTGACTTTGAGGCCTCACTGGCCATGAGACTGAGGAAAACAGAAAAGATGCTGGCCTTTTTGGCTGCTCGGGGTTTCAATGGCTGGGGCTTCAGGCCCGTGAGCTCTTACAGGGTTTACATGTGTTTCCTGAGACCAATGATGGAGT